TGTAAAATTCCTGCAGTCAATTTGCACATCAATAATCGAGAGTCTACTGAATTAAAAAATATATAAAACATGTGTAACATAGTCACTTAAATTTGGCAACTTAATGTAGTTCATAGAGATCTAATCCATTGTTTGAACACAAATTGACAATTATGTACAATAAATTAAAACAACACATTTTCATTTTTAGTCATAATTCATCCTTCAACTGCTTCTACTAAGGAGTCAAAGAAGTTCTTAATATTTCTGAGGGTATAGTAGTATTCCCAAGAAATATCTTAAACACTATCAGCATACTGCTTAAGTAAGATACTAATTCTTCTATATTCTTAAAATGCATTGTTATTTCATAGCATATGAAGGTAATTAGTGTGTTTTCCAGATATACAAATTGTGACCAGGTAATTAAGTCCACATGGCAAAGTACTTTTTGAGAAGCTAATGGTTGTTTAATAGTCTAGAAATTCTTAGCCTTTTACAGAACCTGAAGATTCATTACCATGTTCATAAGAGCTTACAAATGGACTCTATATAATGTGAATATGTGGTAACACAAATTTTCAGATATTACAAACCAGTCATTTGCAAACCGTAAACTGCCATGAAAACCAAAGAGCAAGAAGGTGCATCCTTTTTGAGTGGGTTAATTATAGTCCCTTTATTAAAAAAAAAAATTGAGTAGACTCACAAAGCCTATGTTCTCATTGTATAGATGTCTAGTCATAATGATCTGTTACCATCATCATCTACTATTGTTGACACTGTTATCTTATTTTCTTCTATTTTCATGAAGAATTTATTACTAAAGTACAGATTCTGTGTATGTTACATTTGTCAGACTTAACCTCATATTCTCAAACTGTTATACTTTTTGCAACTGTTGACTTAACAAACAATATTTCATACATAATGTGTATGTATGTTTATGATCTATCTCAATACTACAGATTTCATGAAATGGAGAATAGAGAGTACATCATTCTCCTCAGTTTTAAGAAATCATATTTAAAATACATAAACAATGTAACTGTTTTGATTCTCCTGTTCCATATATGGACACAATTGATAAAGTGATGTGTAAGTACAAGGGCAACTCAAAAAGTCTTTGCCCCTATTTTTTTTCAGCCACAATAATTCTGGGGGCGAGGTCTGCACTATACGGTGCATGCTCCATAATCTCCCATCCGAATGACTGCAGTCAGGCGGCGGTCCTGTTTGCCACACGAGGCCTGGCATTGTCATGGAGGAGAACCACATCATCCATGAGAATCCCTGGGCGCGACTGCAGTCATTCGGATGGGAGATTATGGAGCATGCACCATATAGACCAGTTCTCACCCCCAGTGATTACCACGTGTTCGGTTCACTGAAGAAGTTCCTGGCAGGCCAGAGGTTCATTTCCGACAACGCGAAAACCGCTGTCTGGCAGTGGTTCCACACTCAACTGGCAGAATTCTACAACAGCGGCATTTCCAAATTAGTGGTGCGATGGGACAAATGCCTGAACTGGGGTGGTGACTATGTGAACTATGTGCCTTATTTTGATTTCCCTGTATATGTATTATTGTGGCTGAAGAAAAATAGGGGCAAAGACTTTTCGATTTGCCTTCATAGTTCAGTAGGGTTTAAGGATGTGATTATAAATCTCATTTTAAATCTCTTATGCAAGTAAATTTTAATTCCTTAATTTCAGAATTATTCTTTGAAGTTTTAAGCACCATAAATAATAATGGTAATAAGAAAAACAGTTACATTCCAGATCAAGAACAAATGCTTTTGCTAGCATTTAATAAACAGACACAGATACTTGCCTCTGGTGGCAAGGAGGAAGTGTACTTCACAATGAATGGCAAGATTTTGGTTGGTTTTGGCATGTGTCAATTCAAGAAATGTACATGCTTCAACGACATTTGACATTCATGAGTTATAATAAACAATTCTATTATTAGAGTCCATCGCAACACAACAATACAATGGTCAAGGCTAAAATTAGCTATTAGCTAAAATCGGCTATTAACTCTTTGACTGGCGCGGGCGTGTTTTAACGCCCGGACGATGCCAGCCGTTCCCTGGCGTTGGCGTGTTTTAACGCTTTGACAATCTCTTCCCTTCTTTGCTCTCTTGGCACTCATCAACCAAAGACATATATATGATAGTTTTTGTGCATGTTTGTAAAGAACCCTTGTAAACTTTGTGGGGGTCTATATTACTGTCAGAACCCTCTGAGAAGGAAAAGGTCAGAAAATATTTCACATTCATTCAGTTTCACCATGTCTTCTTGCAGCAAGTGTCTTCGTGTTCCTACAGACCAGCTGGAAAATGTTGTGAACGAAATTTGTTCTGATGATGATAGTGGCGATGAAATAATGATTCCAGAATTGGATGAAGTTGATAGTGACAATAATACAGTGATTTGAACATTTACCTACCACGAGTGCGGTGCCTGACACGCCCATCTCATGAACGTACGGAGACCTTGTACCCCCAATATTTCCATTTGCTAATAGTTTCGGGATCAAAATTGATATAACACATAAAATGCATCCCTTTTCATGGATTAAAATTTTTTCTGGATGACTACTTGGTAAATCACATCACAACTGAAACCAATCGCTATGCTCACCAGCACTTCAACACACATGAGTTAGCTCCTCACTCTCGAAAACACAATTATAATTATGTCACATCAGATGAAATCTGGACATACTTAGGAATTGTGTTCATGACAGGAATCGACAAACGCCCTGAAATTGAAGAATATTTGTCCACTAGGCCCCTATTTCACACCCATGGTATGGACAAAACATGTCTTTGCAGTTGAATAGTTTCATTCTATTCAAAAAGAACACAACAAACGAAAAATACAAGAAGAGAAATTACAGATTCAAAGATTTTATATTGGACTGTGTAGAAAAATGACTGAACCAAACAAACAGTGTGGAGAGGGAGAAAAGTCAAAGAATGAAGTGGATGACGAATTTATTGCGTCAGACTAGAGTGCAGTCACGCCTCCGCCCTCGACCTTGAAAAGGCCACCAGTGAAAGAGCCAGTAAATCGTCTAGAGGGTGGCTTGAAAATTCACAAAATGGTCCATGTTCCTCCCAGTAACAATAAGAAGAATGGTGCCCTGAGAAAGTGTCGCGTGAGTGCTAAGCACAAGGTTAGAAAAGAAACAAGTATCATGTGTGCAGGCTGTGGTGTGGCTCTCTGCAAACTTTCATGTTTCAATGTTTATCACACGAAGAAAAACTAATAAAGAGGCATGGAAAGGAATTTATTGCATAATATATTGTATTTTAATTAGTTCCTGAAAATTTCGTTTTTAAAAACCAATTTTTGTTGAAGTTGTTTAGGAAAAAGTAACTACGAGTACATGCATTTTAGCGACATAAGGTTTAAAGGGCCTGCCAGGACAGGGGTGGGATTTAAATAACCTTCGCGCCAGTCAAAGAGTTAAATCCATCATCAGGCAAACACATGATTACCATATACACACACTACTGAACTGCAATTGTGATAGTGAAGCTGGATACTTGATAATTATTATATTATAAAAATACAATGAAAATAGGCTTATTATAAAAACGAAAGTTATGGTGTAAAATAAGGTTAAAAACTCTTCATGTGATATTCCATATCATCAAGTCAGTTGTTGCAATCTTGTTATATTCCCTCAGACATAATGGTATGTTCTAGACTTGTGTGCATATAGTAAAGTGCTTGGAGGCCTGTGGTATAGATGTAGTATTATTTGATATTAATCTGGATATGATGTAAGAATAATGGCATTAAATTTATTGTAATTAACTATTGATTTTGGTATCAATGATATAGTTGTATTGTTTACTTACTGTTTAGCCGGCGCCTCATCTTACAATATGTTTGTCCGTTCTGTAGGGAATACAGATTGCAATGGATTTGGTGATGTGTTATTAGTGAAGTCAGNAAAGGGGGGGGGGGGGGAGAGGTAGAGATAGGGTGTGTGAGGATGTGGTGGGAGGGGAGGTATAAATGTTGATTATCCAGCTTCACTCTCACAATTGCAGTTCAGCAGTGTGTGTATATGGTAATCATGTGTTTGCCTGATGATGGCTTGTGTTGCGACGGACTCGAATAAAAGAATTGTATATAATAACACAACAGGATGCACGAATGAAGGTTATAATAAAATTTGTAGACATATCTCAGTTTTGATTAAAAGTGGACACAAGTAACAGATACTTCATGTGAAGACTTCCATGGTTTTCTGTATGCGTCTTTAGCACAGTTTGCTAAATATATATAAAATATAAACGTTCTTTAAAAGTTGCAGAGGAAATTAATATACATTTTACGGGCAAATAGACTTTTTGCTTAAGCCTTATAATTTTCTAGACAAATGACAGGTAGCAAACATATCACAATTATTTCACTATACATACATTTCTAACCTATTTTAACACACACTTACCAGGACATATTGGGTGTATGCTTTATATAGTAACTTTAATTAAAATAAAAAATGCATTCAGCTGTGCTTTGTTGTTATAAGAATTTGCTACTTCACTATTCCAGCATAGAATATGTGATGCACTAGTTATGGAGTGTTGTAACAAGTCTCTTTGACTTCATCAACTTCCTATGTATGGTGTTCCACTGTCAGTAAATCAGTATTTTCACCATAAGCAGAGTACTGGAACTAGTAAAGTATGATGGTCATTATAACATATGAAAACAATACATTGCAAGAAGCTGTTACAGCCTCAACTGATGCTGTATGGTAACCATGGTACTCCAATGGCATCACATCAGCTTTTATAGTTAGTACAGTATGAATGGCTGTGCCATAGCTCAAGTGGTTAGTTGCTGGCTTCCCACCGCAGTGGCCCGGGTCAAGTGGGATTTGTGGTGGACAAAGTGGCGCTGGGGCAGGTTTTCTCCAAGTACTTCGGTTTCCCCTACCAATCTTCATTCCACCAATTGCTCCACAATCACCCTCACCTATCATCTGGGGCTGGTACAATAGGCCAGATGTGGCCGCAGTACAAGGAACTTAGTCCCACCCCACTAGCAATAAAAAATATAGTACAGTATGAGATAATTTTTGTTGCATCAAATTAATTTTGAGGCTGTTACTTATATTTGATGTAGTCTATGAAATTATGGAGGTTGAAAAAACATGCATATGTGAACATAATATCAATTTTTATTCCATACTATAATCTGAGAGGGGTACACAGTAGCATAGTTGGTTGAGGTACTATGCTACAAGCCGGAAGTTCGCTGGATCGAGTCCCAATGAGGTGGATTTTTTCAATTTACCTAATCCTTCCAGCTGCACTATGACCCTGTGATCCACTCTGTCCCTAACAGTAAGGCTGACAACCTTACCGCCATCTGTGAGCTGATTGTCTAGAAGACGTGAAGCCTCAACCTCTCATAACCCTATGGGTCTCCACGGCCTGTTACAGGATAACTTTACCTTTACTATAATTTGAGAATAATACTTCAAAATTTGTTGGATTTGAGATTCTCACAACATATTTGGGATGTAATGCCATATAGTCTGATACATATTTTGCCCTTATTTTCACGGTCCAAGAGATATCCAAGAATGTAGCCTGCAAGGCATAGGCGGCTACCGAAGGCAGTATGTTCCTCTAAACATCACTGAAGTTCTACTAGACTATACAGCATTACAAGTGAGACATTAGTACCATTCAATTTAGGATGTGGTTACCAGACTGGAGAAATTTCCCAGATTCTGCATGTAAAAGAAAGAATTATGCCCTTCAACATTATGTAGCTACAATAACCATCATATCTATCAGCCCAAAACATTCACCTGCTGGACATTAAACTAAGTCAGAAGAAATCATGCTGTCTGTAACAGTTCTCAACTTCCCTGAATATTTACGCACCAAGTGCTGTTACTGGAACATCACTTCTTATCTGATTTCTGCACACATGACCACTGAATTGGCCAAAGAATGTGGAGATTATGATGAATGTTATAAATATTCTAGATTTTCCTATATTATATGAAACACATTACAGTATTTCATAGCGACTTTTACAAAGGAAAATAGATATATTCATAATGCTCATGCTGTGTATATGTACGTTCCAATATGGTTGAAGTAGAGCATGAATTGAAGGATAAGACAAGACAAGGGCAAGTTTCTGCCTTCACTCTAGTGTGGAAGAAGAGGTCAGTCTCAACAGCAGGACCACCTGTCAGTGGTCAACGAGACTAATGAGTCCAACAAGACTAAAATAATGGATTCCACTTCAGTCTGTTGCATTTGGATTAGTATAACTGAAACCTTGGAATTGTGTTTGATCCATCGATTGTAATATTTCTTTTTGCACTGGTGTCAGTTTGGCTCGTTCTGCTGTGAACGCCTTGTCAAAGTACTGAACATCCAGTGGGTGTTGCTGCAAGAAAATAATCAGGAATGTCAATGTCACATGATAAGAAAGAATGATATTCAGATGTGAAACACATTTTAAGTCTCAAGGAGCAGAATGTTATAATTTCACAGTGTTTGTATACAACTGGAGCTTGCTGTAATCTACATTAGTATTTCCCATCTGTTAGTCTGCAACTTAACATATACTGATATACAAATTCTAATTAGCATCACATTTTATACGGAGAAATATATTTTGCAGCTGGAAAAATTACTGATTTCCGCCTAGTAACATTTTCAGTTTTCTTTCAGCAACTAAATAGGAACAGAGATGGCTTAGTCAGTGTTGCAAGGAGCTATGAGCTGAGCAACTATGGTTCAATTCCTGGCAGGGCAAGAGATTCTTGTCTATCTCACCATCTCCAGCCCAGCAAATCTTCCCATTTGTGTTTCAAACAGCTGGCCAATAAGTATAAAGTCATTCCTGTACAGATATAAGTTAAACTTCTTACATAAAGCTGTTTCAGTGTGTTCCTCAGTTCAGTATGAAAACTGAGCAATCTACAAAATCAAAACAAAAAACCTCTTTTTAGATATGTCTCTGCTTTTTTGCCTCCTATTTTTGCCAACTATGCATGGCACCTATTTTCTCATGTATTTCCTAATCAGAGGAAATTTTAATTTTGTGTGACATATTCATGATGTGCTTAAAATTAATTGCTGTATACTTAATTTGGAGGACAAGCCTGAACTTGATAAAATTAAGATAGTGATATAGTTCCAGGTTTTCACAGACTGACTGTGCAGTCTCACACAGAGATGCTAATAGTTTGAAGGAGTATGCTATGAGGGAAGTCAGTAAATATGTCATAGATGGAAGTAAAACACCTGTAATGGATGTAATAGGTTTTCTATGCATATCACTAGGCAGCAGCACAGTCCAGCTTCATGATAGTCTGTGTGGCTGACATGCATGCACACGTTCAGGGTCTGCTTTCAGTAGTCGATCTGGTGACCATGTCTGAGTGTAATATGAAAAGAGCAGCATTCTGTTGTGCGTTTCTGTGGGAAAAAGGACACAGTGGGAAGAATTGTGCATCATACTGTGAAGTTCTGCTGAAGCTTCAGAATGCAATTCATAGAAAATGTTCTGGCCAACTGGCAAGAGGGGTACTGCTTCATCATGAAAATGCCACACCCATACAGCCCAACCAACCCAGGAGTGAAATCAAGAACTACTATGGGAACTTCTTGAATATCTGCCTTACAGTCTAGACTTGTCCCTTAGTGACTTCCATCTGTTTGTTCACTAAAAAGCCACCTTGGTGGCAGACATTTTGCTGATAATGCCAGACAAAATGAACAGGTTGAAATGGAGGTGTGGAAGTGGCTGAGACAACAATCAAAACACTTCTCTGCTGCAGGTTTCAATGCACTGGTAAAGCAATGAGACATGTGTATGAATGTTGGAAGATATGTCAAAAAATAAATGTTCTTTCCAGGTTTGAATATCACATGTTTTATATTTTATATTCATTTGTGACCTATGTACTGACTCTCCCTCATACCTCTATTTTCTGAATTGTATTTTGACCATGACGATGGAGACAGCATGTTCCTCTGAAACATTGGTATTCATCTGCAAGACCACCTGGTGTCACAGGTCAGAAAATGTAAATATTACGATCATAATCACAGAGCATTTATAAATTATAACAATGAAAAATTAGTGAAAAGATCTTGGGCCTTGTAGGTAGTGGTATGAATAATTCTGAAATAGATAAAAGTGTCAGCTGATGGCTGATGCAGACGATCTTGTGCCTGTGCACATACATGAAGAAGACAGAACTTCATAAAGAATATCCTGAATTTACTTCTAAATCAGGCCAATAATTTACGTACCACTCTGGGTTTGAATGGTGGTTCTAGCTCACGGCGCTCGAGAGCATTCCAGTCAATATTCCGGAAGAATGGCTGGTCCACCACATCTCCTGCCATGCTCCCATTTGTTCCTAGCCGCTTAGATGAATCTTTTTCCAGGAACTACAATCACGGAGATGCATCATGTTATGTTAAATTCATAGTACTGTACTACTGCTGGTAGATGTAAATTTCATTAGCCAGTATGGCAAAGTCAATAAAGTGACAGATGGCAAGATGGATAATAGGGATTCAGTTCCTTGCAGGGGCAGGGATATATATTTATTTACAGATATGTCCAGATGGACATTGGGGTAGATACACATACTTAAGTTCTGACAATAGTTGTAACCTCCCCACTTTCAATTGCAATTCAAATTACAAATATTTCATATTAATTTTGATTTTAAAACAGTTAAACATATTCAAAACAATCTGTTGTTCTTTGCTTCTAAACACCTTTCCATTAGTACAGTTTACAGAACTAGCATTAGCCCATTGTTTTGCAATGCGTATTTCATATGTCACAATTATAAAATCAGAAGCAAAAAAATTTAACTGTTAACAGTGTTGTGGAGCTTACTGGGCAGAATATGTGACAAAATGGAGCAAATTTGAGACTGTTAAGTTTAATAATTAAAGGAAATATAAAAGTTTGATTGGCTGAGTAATTATGATTTGCTTTAATGACTGTTTTACAGAAGAAAAATAGCTACATCACAATCACAATTTCATATCAGCCACGCAAGTGAAAGAAGAAAGAAAATTCTATTGTTAATGCTGGACACACTACAACACAAGTCAGTGCACTGAATGTACCATATCATGAAACTGTGGCACTGAGCCACAGTAACTGCCATTTCTAAGTAATACACGCACCAACAATGGAACAACAGGGTTATGCAATCTGCTTCTAGGCAACAGCTTGTTAAGTAGATTTCTGCACAGGCGCAATGACGTCACACTCCAAAAGTGCTTAGCTATCACATGACTTGTTTTCTGTGTTTACTGCGCTACACAACAGCAGAACTGTGTTTTCTGTGCTGCAGCTATATAACACAAGTCCACTTGCAGCCCAGGAGAGTTTTCAGTTGAGTTTATGGTTCCAGGGTGATGGAACAAGAAATCGCAAGAAGACTTCATAGCTATTTGAAGTGGTAGTTTCTGTGTCGAGATCTGCTACTAGGAGATGGCTAGTGGTAAAACTGTTCTTTTACAACCTGCCTTTGTTATACCAGCCCAGTTGGAATGGTGCTATCCCTGCTACACCCGTTTCTACCTTAGGATGGTGTATGATGGCCCCTGTAAGTTGTCCATAAAGATTGAACTAAGGAAGGTCGGTGTGCTGGGTTGGTTAGCATGAGACTCAGGGTAGTGATGCCGAATTAAGTGGTATACTGTGAGCTGATTCAGTTTGATGTTGATTCACTTACTGTTCTCCAAACCACACCATTTAATTTACTGTATGTTAATGGTTACAATTACAAATTATTATATTATATTTAAGCATCCTGTTACATTCCCCACTTCTATACGTATAATATAAATACCGTCATAAATGTAACACTTTATTATAGTTCTATCTCCCTTCTTTTACACTACATGTTTTGGCCGCAACCGGCCATCATCAGGTGTATTTCACTTCACATAGCTGTCACACTGCACTCAATATTGAAATACACCTGATGATGGGCGGTTGTGGCCAAAACATATAGTGTAAAAGAAGGGGGACAAGAACTAAAGAACTGCGATAAAGTGTTACATTTACGATGGAGTTTATATTATACATATACAAATTATTAATTGATCTATGAACTAGATCTCGGAGTGTGCAAGGGTCATGTCTGTACCCTTCAGAATATGGAGAAAAGATTGACAAGCATGGAAATGTCTTGCACATCCCATGCTGGGAATTAAAAAAAGACTGAATTTTCCACAGTGTGGACATACGAGTATACATGCCATTCCATCTCCCACATGGAAGTTCGAACAAGGCAACAAAGTCATAATGGCCCTTGAGTGGTCCTCATTCACAGGCAATTGACCTGTCCTTTTCACTGACTTTTGTAGGCACATCTGGTTTCATGTTCTCAAGCTATATTAATAACTCCTCATAAGCGTCAGAACTCCAAACTTCTTGGCCCTGCCAGAATCTATAGAGATTTCCATAAAACCTCTGTATTGCACGTCCAAGACAATGGAATATGATATTATAGATGATGATAAAGTTCCAGTAATATCGAAATATAATATTTTGAATTAAAAATTACTGAGAATAATTACAAATAAGGTTCACGGTTATTTATAATCATCCAAATAAAAAGGGGTTATGATTGATCAGCATCAGTGAGAATCCCATTGCATGTGCAATGGTGAACTGTAAATTGTGTGAATCAGCAATAGCACTGCAATAAATGTGATTAAAAGAACTTGTAACTGAAATACTAATGAATCCAATCATCTGATCTAGAACTCTTTATTTTTGTCACCCGTACAACCCTACACGTGACAATATGATGGTTCAGCAATGGTGTACTAGGTGGTTCAAATATGACCGGGACTGATTTGTGCGTAAACAAGCCGCACTGCGCAGCAGCTGTGCGACCTTGAGAGAGTGAAACCACAACCTCCAACCTCCCTCCTGTTCGGGTTAGAACCTGTTCACTTCTGTCTGGGAGATGCTAGAGAGATGAGAGAACAGAAGGTAACGCGGAGCATGGAACAACGCATTGTGATCAAATTTCTCGTTGGAGAAAACGTCCAGTCCACAGAAATTCACCACAGACTCCAACAACAGTATGGGGAAGAGTGTCTCTCAAGGACCTGTGTGTTTGAGTGGTGTAAGTGCTTCAGAGAGGGCAGAGAGTGCATGGAGAATGAACCGCATGATCGTTGGCCGCGAACATCCATCACCGAGCCGAACATTGATCGTGCAGACGTGCTTATTCGTGAGAATAGGCGCATCACTATCAAGGAACTTGGTGTAATGCTGTCCATCAGTGTTGGTAGTGTAGAAGACATCGTGAAATACCACCTGCACTATCGCAAGGTGAATGCACAGTGGGTACCACGCACTTTGATGGACGTGAACAAAATGGTGCACACGCAAGCTGCCAGTTGTCTCCTACAGCAGTTTGATGACGAAGGTGATGCATTTTTGAAGTCTATAGTGACCACCGATGAAACATAGGTGCACTACTTCATTCCCAAGTCCCAGCAGTCATCACGCGAGTGGCGGCATACCAGTTCTCCCAAACCCAAGAGAGCGCAGAGGAGCCATTCAGCAGGAAAACTGATGGCAACGTTCTTCTGGGACTGGCAGGGGGTTATCCATGTAGACTTTCTGACAGATGCCAGAATAGTCAATGCAGCTTATTACTCAGACCTCCTGGCAACAGACATGAAGGAAAAGATCCGATCCAAGCGGAAGACAGGTGGAAAGAGGGTAGCCTTCCTTCAAGACAAGGCACACCCCCATACGGCCAAAACAACAATGGAAACCCTTCAGAAATTGAAATGGAACCTTCTGACACATCCGCCGTACAGTCCCGATTTTGCCCCAAGTGATTTCTACCTGTTCAGAAGGCTCAAATCAGACTTGCAAGGCATGTGGTTTGAGGACAACGCCGCCGTCATCCAGACTGTTTGGGAGTGGATATGCCGCCAACCACAAGTCTTTTCTTTGGGGGGGGGGGCATCAGGATGCTTCCAGAAAGTTGGAAAAAATGTGCTGACTTCAGAGGGGAGTACGCTGAAGACTGACATGTGCAAGTAAGTGTTTAGCAATTATGTTTTTTTTTTTTTTTAAAGATCAGTCCCGGTCATATTTGAACCACCTTGTATAAGATAACAAAATCACAAACTGCCATGTACACTAAACACAATGTGATTCAGCACATGAATTACTATTGCATGGAAACATACTCTCCTCTCACTGAGTTGCTGCCTTAATGTGCACGCACTGATCACCTGAAGAGCTTTGCTATGAGGAGCATAAGTTCCCTGTGGGCTTGTCCATCTTAAACATGTTGAAGTGGGGGGGTTCCATGAAAGACAGCCCTTGGTCAACCAAGTTGTGGGTTGGGCATGAGGCTATACAGCGTATCAAGAAACCAAATGGTGGAGTCTGGATGTATACAAGAAGAAAGGGCATCTGTCAAAAAGGAGGAAAAGTTTCTTAGAAGACCACAGGGCCAAGAAGTAAGCAATCACATAAGTAAGACATTTTATTGCTATGAATTATTCAGCATGGAATGTATAATTAGTTTTCACATGTTAACAGAAAGTTTACTAGAAAACCTCAGTAACTTGTACTGAAAACAGGTAAATAAAAGAACTTACCAGATGGAGTATGCTGTTGGCTTCTCGTGACAGGAATCTGGGATACTGTGGCTGCTCATTGCAGATAGACCAGAAAAGATCATCTTCATCACAGCCACTGAAGGGAGACTGACCGATCAACATTTCATATAGGAGAACCCCAAAAGACCACCAGTCCACACACTGATTGTACTTTAGTCCTTTTATAATCTGTTTCAGGAAGACAACAGTACTGTATATCATGCAGTATACAATGATTCATAATAAATGTACCTATAACAAAAGTTTTATCATATTAACCTTTCAATACCACAAATATTCCTGGACCACAATAAGATGTTATACATTTAAACAACTATGTAATGGTGAGACAAACTTAGCAAGACGAAGAGCCAAAACACAGGTTATTAAACACGTCATGAGTAACTACACCGAAATGATTGTACCACAGAGATTTTACAGCATGTACTGCTGATTTCCCACTGACAGTTATGAATATCTGTCTGGTTTTTCTACATACTGAATATGATTAATAAAATTAACAATACAATGATTAACCAATAAACATTCTTGTTTAAGGTGCTTAATTTGAATGATCACAGTCCATTTATTTTAATGTTAAAATATACTCCATTACTCACTTTTCAAGTCTCTTGTTCCCCAGAGAAACACGTCAGCGATGTAGAAATAAAACAAAGAAAATCTTTACTTCATTAATAAAGGCCATGGAGTTAACTGAGAAACTGTGTAGTCATCTGTGTGTTTAGCACTAGCTGTCAAATTAAGATAGTTGTGGGATCATATGAGATAATGAACATGGAAGAAATACATTCCAGATTTTTAATTCTTGAAGTAATGTTAGCGATACGATAATGTAAGAAAGTCCTTTTAAAATACTAAGTAAGATGTGAACTAAATGAAAATCAAAACAGGCTCAACATGTTAATGACATTACCATACGGACAACTACTACAACAACATGACCCCTCACATCAATGATTGAAGGATAACATAATGTTAAGCGTTATATTTTAACTTAGCAATGGGGCCATACCATAGTTCAGGTGGTTGGGTACTGACTTCCCAATGCAGCAGCCCAGGTTTGAACCCAGGTCAATTAATGTAGGATTTGTGGTGGACAAAGTACGAGTGGGTATTTTTCTGAGTACTTCCACTGAGTGCTCAACACTCATTAGTCATACTTCTTCTAATGGTATAAACTCTCAATACACTCAGCATCACTGGGCAATAGTAACTGGTGGCAGCACCATCAAGGAGTAAAAAATCTCAGTATTAAATATTTCCCCATGCAACATTAACAACAGCTTTACAAAATTGTACGTGAATTCTGGTAACAGTGGATCTACCGCTAAGAATCGCTGCAAGTAATGGGAGCATGTATATCATGCAATTACAGAAGGTTAGAAAGCAAACAATTCAAATAGCGACAAACAGCAAGACCACAAGGTCAATAAAACACTATTTGTAGAAAAGAAAAAATCAGACAAATTATGGACATTTCTGCTGAAATATTGCTCCCTATTACAACAAGAACAGGCATGTAAGGCTGACAAACTTACCGCCATCTGTGATGCGAGTGTCTAGAAAATATTGGAGCCTCAAGATCTCACAACCCTATGGGGCTCCAGGGCCTATTAAGGGGATACCTTTACTTTTACTTACTTATTACATCATGGATATTCAGTCAGTATAGTAACAAGAGTACGGGATGATCATCAGGGTATGGGGGTTCAATTTCTGGCAGGCACAAGACATTTCTCTCATCTCCAAATGTCCAGAATGGCTCTGGGGCCTACCCAGTCATCTATCCAATGGGTGTCATGGGTAAAGTGGCCAGGACATACAGCTGTTCACTTACCTCCACCTACTGTCAAGGTTAAGAATGCATGCAACTATACATCTGCATTCCTGTATCTTCATGGTGTGATGCTTAATTAAGCAGATGGACAACTTCATCTTTACTTGTACTGCTTTCTGTATGATTTGCAGCACCTGAACACTGTTAGCCAATCTTGTGAGGTGCATTTAGATCAACAAGTGCTTGCTTTCATAAATTCATTAAAATGATTTTTTACATCTCCCAGTCTTCTCACTTTTCCTGAGATGTCTCATTCATTAACCTGTATATTTTCTTCAAACTTTTCTAGTTTATTTATTTAAAAGAGATAGGGGACTTCTATCAAATTAAAATTGTTCTCTTATTCCATGTTCGTTACTCCATTACATTTAGTAACATACTCGCATTTTAATTAATTTTTCTTGATATATTTTATTAAAAATTATATTAGCATGTTGTTACGATATGTACTGCCAGGAAAAATTAACTGTGGTTTTATGGGTTCATAGTAATTATCTACTTTGCCTCAACTTGTATTAAGCAGTATTTTCTTTCATTTCTGAATAAAGCTGAGTCTAGTTACAACTAACCTCTGGGGCCATGTAATCAGGTGTTCCGCAGAATGTATCTGCCGTCCTGTCCAGGTAGATCTGAAGTTTACACATTCCAAAATCAGCTATGCGAACATGGCCGTCAAAGTCAAGCAAAATATTGTCCAGTTTGAGATCTCTGAAACATAAAATTGCATAAACTAAAGGTAGAATAGATACCTTTAGTGTTATATCTTGATATAATGAACTATTTGACATACAGCTAATACTGTGTCAGAAATTTTTCTAATTTGGAACTAATAATGTAAATTCATTTCCCTCTTGATTTACTTCAAACTGCTAAATAGGCATGTGGGTCATGTTTGCATGTTCGTTCGTTCATTCATTCATTCATTCATTCATTTATTCACCATTCCATAAATCCTTACATGGTTAAACACCAATGGATATAGAAATAGTCAACATGAGTAAGCATCACATACTGCATCACAATTGTGTAATGTCATTCATTCATTCATTCATCAGTAATCTGTCAAGACGACAGGTCCACAGTCTCTTCCAAAACAGTTCCTCCACTTAATGCGATCTAGAGCTTTCTCCTTCAATGAGAATATCCTCTTCTGTCCCCAGTATCTGTCATCCAGTATCTTCTTACGTCTTCTGGTCACTTCTTTCCTTCAATAACTTCTTTTAGAAGGCAGTTACCGCGTAAGATATGACCAATCCAATTAGCCTTCCGTTTTCTTAGTTCCTGTAGGATATTCCTCTGCTCACTGACTCTAAATAACACTTCTTCATTTCTCACATAATCGGTCCAACTGATCTTCTCCATCCTTCTCCAACACCACATTTTGAAGCTTTCCAGGTGTTTCTGATCTACTGCCCTAATTGTCCAAGTTTCAGCCCCATACAAAGCCATGCTCCAAATGTAGTATTTCACTAGTTTCTTTCTCAAATTTAAGTCCAATTTGCTGGTAAAAAGATTCTTCTTCTTGCTAAATGCAGCTTCTGCCATGGCAATTCCAGATTTAATTTCACAAGTGTAATGTCAAACCAGTTAAAAATATTAACAATATACAACATGAACAAAAACCATCATCTATAATAATAAAGCACTATAAACTACTACCCGTAACAAATCCAGTTACATGTTGTCACAGTTAAAATATTCATCCAATGAATAAAATGAATTTAAAAATAGGAATCTTTTAACAGCAGACCTAAATTTTTTAATCTCATGAGCTTGGGCTTTTATATTAGGTGGAAGTTTATTAACAATTTTAATTCCAAAATAATATGTTCCCTTTTGAAAGACAGCTAAGAGTTACACGATGGATAATGGAGGTTATTACTATGTCTTGTCTTGATTGTATGAATCTCAGAATTAGATACAAATAGATCTTTGAAGGAGCCTGTCAGCTGTGATCATTATACATCACCATGGTTATATAAAACTGACAAAGAATATTCAGCTTAACTACCAGAATTATGTCACTGTCAACACAACAAATATTCGGTTTTATTTTCAATCTTTATACTGCTACATGTTTCGGTCACATAAGACCATCATCAGGCAGTTGTACATATACTCACTGAAATACCGATATGGATCCTTATCGGTGCAACGCGTCATGTTATGTACTGACATAAAACTCTTGCCTCAAGTTTATGTTAGAATAAAGTAGCAAATACATAAATAAGATAAAAGACAAATGTAAGGGTGTACCGTATATCAAATTATAATGTGTTGAAATGCTATAAAATATTAAAAGTCTATTAAAAATATTTAAAATGTGAAATGCTTTTCGATGATAAGTTAAGAATTGTATGCCAAATTAAATATTTTAGGTTTCACTGCTTCAATGTAGAAAATGGGCACGTACGTTGTTTGTAGGTCTTATTATAGAAACTTTCTATGTAGTAAGCCCAGTTGTGAAGCCCAACGACAAGTTTCTATGGTGTACGGGTTGTGGTGTGTGGATAGTAGTGCTATTTATACGATATGTATCTTTATCTGAGCATACAATATGGCGTATGTGTTCCTTGTCTCGGCGGATATACATTCTGTGTTTTCTACACTGTGCGGTGGTTCAATTCTTTAACCTTTTTAATATACACTTTAGTATACTTTTGATAGTTTTATAGTAGCTTTTCAACACATTATAATTCGATATACAACCTACAATAATACCAATAATACCTAACTTAAAAAGTTCTTGAAAGACAAGTAAATTTATACCAAGATACTAAGCCTGTGAAAATAAGATTATGCATTACAAAGAGCTGCTATATAGAGGAAATATTTTTGACAAATATTGTCTATAAAAATAAAGATCATTACCACTCAGCTTCCCTTTATCTTAAATTTTGAACAAAAGATCAAAATGCTCCCAATTTGACCACTAAAGAACAGTGACAAATATCTTCAAGTCACAACATAACCAGGTCTAGCAGATGGTAATGGAGTGCTCTGACCCTCAGGTACAATATCAACACTACTGTGGGAACCTCACACAGACTGCAAATGATGTATAAACATTGTCTGTTTTCCGTGCACTGTGGGAGGTTCCCACATTACAAACACTTCATAAATTTAAGTATGAGGTATTAGTTTGAAATTATCATTGTGGGAACCTCCCACATTCTAACACGCAGCTTTGTCAGTCTAACAGACAGCATTCAACTTCTGCTCAAGCCAAGTCAATGTCACATTGCCACACACTGCTGCCAACGCTCGTATTTATACAGCACTCACTGCCCAGCCTACCTTTAGATCATCGCGTGCGCTGGTCAATCAGCGCTCACAATCGCAACTGCAAGTTTAGCTCTGCCCAGCAAGCATGGTATAAAAGGCAGAGCTCAAAAGTCGCTATCATCAGTGATCACATTCGGTTCAGAGCGATCAGTCATCAGAGTCATCAGTTCTTAACTGTGCCAAAGTCAGCTAACATAGCTGCAGCACCTCTCCAGCAACCATGCTGAGACAACGGCTCCGTCAGCATCCACACCATAGGCAGCTGTTCCTACCGGCGCATGCAGCACATCACTGGCCAGCCAGACCAGCTGAATGGCCATAAAGACTTGGTCTGCTACAAAACAGCAAACTACTAGCGTACGCATGGTGGAACAAACTGCCCTTTTCAGGGCCGGCAAACTTTTGAACATCGATATTCCACATAGCTTCACAGCTATTGTGTACATTTAATATATACAATTGTTAGTTTTACATGGTTGTCTTTTAGAACATCGACATCCCACATCATCATACACTCCAGTTTATCCCACGTAAACTTTAGCACTGATAGGTATTACTTCAATGTTGGATTTTATGTTTTTAGAGCAGAGACTATGAAGAATAATATCTTCAGGGTGTGAAGTTCACTGACATTTCTGAGGAACATACTGCAAGCTTGGCTTACTCTTCATCCCTGAAGATGAAAGCAGTATGTTCCTCCAAATACTAAATTTTTACCTGGTAACTTGGCAGCACATCCCAGAGTACAGTACTAGTTACATATTATTTCAACATTATCAGCTTACACGCCATTTTTTCCCCACGTACATTTCATAACAATTCCTTATATTAATAGGCAAACCCATATTATTCTGAATGATCTGAAATGATCTTGCTTGTCCATACTTATATATCATATCATTAATCCACTGAATAGCGCAGTCCATATGGTAACTGGCTATGGGTTGAATGGCCAAAGAGTTGGAGCTTTTGTACCAATAGGGGCAAGATTTTTCTACTTTCCATGTCATCTAGACAGATTCTGTGGCCCACCCATCCTCTTATCCAATGGGTACCAGCAGCTCTTTTCCTGGGGGTAAAGCTGTAGGTGTTAAAAGCTGACCACTCACCTCCAGCTAGTACCAAGGTCATAATATGTTTGTCTATACGTCCACTCTCCGATATGCCTTCATGACATAGTGCTTAAATAGTTAAGGACATGGACATCTTTACCTTTACCTATTCACTGAATAAGCACAATATGTATAAAGGAAATATGTTTTCAGCAAAAGTTGAGACTGGAATGTCAACTGAAACACAGGCAACCCTCATTGCTGCCATGTGGTCCTACCTGTAACTATCAGCAACAATAGCTTCTAAATAAGGACAGGATGAAAATAAAATTGCAAGACTTGAGTTTCTGTATAACAAGACATTCCTTATTGCCCTTGCACAGGTTATCTATTTTGTATCTTATCTATTCTTTTTAGGTGATTTTGTAACCATGCCAGGTGCCCATTAACTTTATCCAAACCATCTGTTTACTCACGTATCAGTAAGCACGAAACAGCTTGAGGATTGAAGAATTCTGTCTTCTGGGCTATAATGACATGTAGTCTGGTAAAAGTTGACCAACAATTCAGAGGAACATGTCGTCTCCACCTTTCGGGTCAAAGATTAAGCCAACCAAGAAATCAACATGAAGCAGGTAGCAAGCAGAGCTTCGACCCTGAATATGAAGGCGACATGTTCCTCCGAAGTGTCAATTGTCTTTCACTAGACTACAAGGTATTATATCCAGAATATGGAACTGTTCATAACTACCACTGTGAGGACCTCAAATCCTACAACTTGAGGACTGTTGGATAGATTTTGATAAAATCTGATATTGAAGAATGTTTTTTGAGAAATTATCAGGCATTATTAATTTCAGTTTAGACTATATAAGTTTAACGACTTTATATAAAACTCTACACTCAGTTCTGTGCGTATCTTGTGTAACTTGCTGAATATTTATCACAATGAAAGATGTTTCAAGCAAATGTTGAAGAGAAAAATGGAACATATTTTGCGTTCAAAACTTCTTTTTAAGTTGTACAGTTCTCAAGATAATTATAGATACTGGACACCACGCATATATTTCTACGTTTCCACAAAATATCTTGGATTATCTTTGTTTTTTTACTATTCTCATGTCTCTTTCCATTCATTAGAATGGATAATCAGAAGTACTCTACATATAGATGATGCACAAGATACTCATGGGTTACTGATAATAATTCCTTCGACTTCCAGAAGCATGAACCATGCATTTCTCTCTCACCTGTACACCACACCTTTCTTATGAAGGAACTTGAGCCCAGAGACTATTTCTGCTGCATAGAATCTGGCTCTCTGCTCAGGGAATCTCCCAGTTTGCTGTATGTGGAACATCAGGTCACCACCATTGAGGTACTCCATCACGAAGAACAAATGAGACTGCAAATATATGTAATATAAGTGCAACTTAAGCCACTATTCTCTAAATCATGTTCTTGTTATGAAAATTAAGTAGGAATCACATTTTGGAAGTGTTCTGTAATAACAACTAGAGAAAAAACATGTTAAACATATTAATTAAATCAAATTTGTGGAATATTTCATACTTTTGTGATGTCATGGTCCAAATCCATGATTTTCATAGAGCCATGACCTGTAATGTGGTTGCAGTTAGCGCCAAACAGACATGGATGTAAACTTGACACTTTTTTTATTGCTAGTGGGGTGGGACTAAGTCCCTTGTACTGCGGTCACTTCTGGCCTAATGTACCAGCTCCAGATGATAGGTGACGGTGATTGTGGAGCAATTGGTGGAATGAAGATTGGCAGGGGAAACTGAAGTACTCGGAGAAAACCTGCCCCAATGCCACTTTGTCCACCACAAATCCCACTTGACCAGACCCGGGATCGAATCCGGGCTGCCGCAGTGGGTAGCCAGCGACTAACCGCTTGAGCTATGGCGCTGCCCAAACTTGAAACTTAGGATACCTCAAATGATCAGTAGTATTAACTTTTCAATGTGCAGTCTGAGAAGAACCAGGACGGGCAAGTGGATAAGTTAATGTCACCGATTTGTGCACATATGTATATTTCATTCTGAGTTAACGTTCTTCCCCTTTCTCCTTTCTTTTGCGCTTCTTCCACCTTCCAGTTATTCTGTATTCTGTTCCACACTTCATTACATTTCCAGTGCTCATGGTTCGTTTCCTTTATCCTCTTACTCTTCTTCTTCTCATCCATCTTCTACTTCTTCCTCAATGTCCTGACCTGCACAACCGTGCAGTCAGGGGCTGAAAGAGAAAGTAGCTTTCTCGCAACATGCAAGTCCGTTACCTCAGTCTGGAAGGTGCAGAAAAGATGGCAGAGGTACGGATGTTTTGTTCCCAGTGCCAGGACTTTCCTTTCTATCAGCGTGCATTCTACATCATCATCTTCCAGCACCACATCTTTCTTGAGACACTTGACAGCATAATAGCACTCAGTGCCTTTCAGTTCTGCGAGCAGAACCTGCAGTATGACAATTATAACAAAATGTTTAGGTAAATCCAACATTCAATTGTCCCATACACAAAATAATACATGAAATAAAGGTTTAAACTAAAATTTCTATTCAAATTTGAGGACATAAAGCGTGCAGCAGGAATTTTCTTGTGACATTGGTTCAATGTTGGTTAAAGCATTCACATATGCAAACAATCTGCTGGAGTGTGTCCTATTGCATCCATAAATTTCCAGTTTTAAATTATCTTTTCATAATTATGCTGTACATTTGATTTATTATCATTCTTCTATGTTAACATGAAAATAATGCTCAATGGCTGGTGACTGAACACATGGAAAATGTTATCTTCATGACGTTTCAAATGCTTAATGGCATATGATGTATTATGAAGAACTGCTAATCATGAATATCAATTGCTGAACACTGAAATTTGAAATAACTGTGTTACACTTTTTGAAGAATTTTCTATGTCATTTGTATAATGTTATTCTGTAAAAATATACAATTTCTTTATTAAAACCGTCACAACCCAACTATATTAAGGGCAGTGCCAAGTTCGACTCTGCTACATGTTTCGGCTACCAAAAGCCATCATCAGGCAAATACATGGCCAATATATATACACCACTGACCTGCAGTACTAGTAAAATTGGATACAATAATATTAATTATATTAAAATACTCAGCATAAAAGTACAATAAATTAAACTATATAAAACGAAAGTTATAGTATGAAACAAGATTAAAATTCTTCCAGTGATGGTTTACATCAAGGGCCTCCAAACTATGGCCCGCGAAAGAAATGTGCAGAAATGCCCCGGTCTGTGCATAAGTGTACGAAGAGTAGTGTGTGTAGTGTAGTTGATGTGTGTAATAAAGTCAAGTGGTTACACTTCCATAATATTCAACTTGTAACTGAATAAATTTATTCATATATTTGCTTGTACAGAGATCTCGTAATTTTAATAATTTCATAATTGTATATAAATTGATTTATTTAAACTTTTCAAATTAACAAGACTGTACATAGTAAAATTACTAGAATATTTGTTATATTTATTTAGTATTCGTTTTATTGTTAATTTTTGTATTATTATTCTCTTTTCAAGTTTTAACATGGATGGAAAAAAGGAGAGAAAATTTGACGACGAATGTCGTGCGTTTAATGAAGAATGGGGCATAAAATATTTCTTCATACAATCGAATTCAAAGGATAAAGCTTATGTCTGATATGTAAATATATTGTTGCTGTGTTGAAAGAATACAATATATGTCGTCACTATGACACAAAGCATGCTTCAGCGTTTTCACAATTTAAAGAAAAGCAGCATTCAGATAAATTTGAATCATTACGTTGTTGTCTGCGTTCTCAGCAAGACTTATTTACGAAAGCAACATCAGAAAATGAAGCCTTAACCTAGGTAAGCTATAAGGTTGCTTATGTTTTGGCTAAAAAAGGAAAACCATTCAATGATGGCAATATCATCAAAGAGTGTATGATGGAAGCAGTGACTGAGTTGTGCCCCGAAAAACTTAATCTTTTTAAAATGATAAGTCTTGCGCCAAATACTGCTGCTCGTTGGATTTAAAATATGGGAAATAATATTGTCCAGCAAATTGCAGGCATCGACGAAGAACTTAATGACACACAGGAATTAGCGTCACTTCACAGCATGCATGGCACTACAACAGGAGATGATATCTTCAAAGAAATACAAGAAACACTAACAGAATATAATTTGGACTGTCTGCAGTGCATGACAGTTGATGGAGGAAAAAACATGTCTGGTATAAAAATAGGTTTGGGTGGCCACATTAGAAAGGCTTGTGAGGATGCAGGAATATCAAAGCCAATGTTTCTTCACTGTGTTATCCACCAACAAGCACTTTGTGGAAAACACGTTGATATGAGTTCTGCTTTAAAACCTGTTATTTCTATCGTTAATTTCATTCGCTGTCATGCACTTAACCATCGCCAGTTTCGGTCTTTTCTCGAGGAATGTGATTCCGAGCTTATTGGCCCGATATATTGTACTGCAGTTTGATGGCTTAGCTGTGGAAAAGTTATTTCGCTCTTCTTTCAGCTCAGGAATGAAATTGATATATTTCTTACCGAGAAAAACCATCACAACCCACTTTTATCTGATACCGAGTGGCTTTGGAAATTAGCATTTTTTGCTGATCTTGTGAACCATATGAACAATTTGAATTTAAAGTTTCTGGGTGAAAATAACGTAGTCTGTGATTTATTTGCACTTATCAGGGCATTCAGAGCAAAGTTGATACTTCTGGAAAGCCAAGTGAAAAATTGTAACTTTGTTCATATGCTATACTGTGCAGAGTTGCATAAAAAGGGTGAAGCAGAATTTCCTTCCTCGTTTGCAAATTTAGTCATTTCAGATTTGAAAGAACAATTTCGGAAGCGATTTGCTGATTTGGATGCCAGTGCTCAGGAAATTAAATTGTTTCAAAATCCGTTTGACTGTGATGCTGCAGATGTCCCAAGTCAAATTCAAATGGTAATTATTGAACATCAGGAAAATTATCATATTAAAGACAAATACAAGGAAGGAAATTTTATCGAATTTTATAAATTTCTGAACTCTGAGCAATTTCCAAATTCAAAGAATGTGCTTGTAAATTTATCTCGATTTTTGGGATGACATATCTGTGTGAACAAACTTTTTCCCAGCTGAAGTATATCAAGTCGAAATACAGGACAAATTTATCCGATGAACATTTAAAGTTGCTACTTGTGATTAGCGTTTCAAAATTTGAACCTCAATTTAATCAGATTTTAAGAATGCAAAAAGAGTTCCATCATCCACATTAATTGTTTTATTATAATTTGTGATGAAAATATGAGCATTTGCTGCTACTGTCTGTTGTCATTAATATACGATAATTTATTCTCACGTACTTTGTATTTAGTTTATGAAATTCTGTGCTTTCAAAAAAACTCATATACCTAGAGTTATTAATTTCTCATTTTATCTGGCCCGTTGAAAGTGCTGAATGACCTAATGTGGCCGGCATTTCAAAAAGTTTGGAGAGCCCTGCTTTACAACTTCGAGTCAGTTATTATTGGTTTTTGCGATTTTGGTAGCCGAAACGTGTAGCAGAGCCAAACTTAGCACTGACCTTAATATAATTGTGTGTTGACGGTTTTAATAAAGAAATTGTATATTATAACACAAGAGGATGCATGAAATGAAAACTAGTATATAGATTATTATGCTGTTCTGAATTACCATATGCTGACTTTAAGATTATTCTTTTGGACTTTGTCCAGCATCCCAGTTTTATGTAAGAAGAGAGATGAAGGATAAAGAATAATCTTGAACACACTATAACACCACTGTCAAAGAACTTTAAATTTAGTTTACTGAGCACCACCACCTAGACTAGTGTTTCTCAAACTGTCTTCCACGGAAATGCAAGGATCCACAAGTGGTTCCAGAAATTGTAAAGATAAAGTATCTGTGATAGCCATTTACAATATCAAAGTCTGAGAGAGTAAGAGCATCACAAAATAAATAAAAGAGCCAACCTAAATATTATAATTCTGTTGAAATTCAAAACTTAAAAGTGAATTGTATTTTCAAGTACAATATTTTTTAAATAAAACTCTTGTAATCCTTCCAGTTGAAGATCTTGGAAAACAGAGTTTTACTGCTGTCCGCATGTGTATGACTTTTCAACATGTACATCCAATGAGTCTGGGCAGCAGGACACTTGCATTTACATTATTTACCAATGAAGCAACTGGTATTCATGGGTGACCCCACAATATTTTTCAAGAGGGGGCAGCCAGTATTTTTGTGGGGGGTAAAACAAGAATATTTGCTTACAAACTTGCATTTAAGCCATTTAACATTAATTTTACCGATGGCTTTACTATATTCCAGATACATGAATATATTTTCTTTAAATATAGTACGTTGAAATTTTGGTATCAATATTTGGTATATTTCTTCTTCTTTAAATTTTGATTTATTAAAATAATCCTTGCAGGGAGCCAGATACCTGGATTGCTACCCCCTCCTATTAGGTTTGTTCTTAGAAAGATGACATTACTAGTACTGTTAACTCTATTTCAGTTTTAGAAGACCAAAATGGAATCTTACCATGAAATTATTAGAGTATAACATGATTGGCAGAATTCTGAAGCCACTTCACACATGTATGAAATCAGATCTACAATACATTGCCACAAAAGTAATACAGTAGCATTTTTCCAAATATAGGCAAAATAGTATATTAAGGATAGCAAGAGCATTCTCCAAAATCATTCCTCTCAATGATCGCACACATGCAACACAAAAAGGCTTCAATTTTAGTTATCTTTTTCCCCTTGCCTATACGCCCCATAATACAAGGAAAGCAGAAATGAAGATTTCTATCTTCTGGAATATACCACCATGTAGTCCACTAAAAATAAATTGACATATTCCTCTTAAGTGTCAGTTGACTTTCAGCAGACTATATGGCATTATATTCAAGACAATAGGAATCTTCATAACCATTTGTACGAGAACTTCAAATCGTATAAAGAGCAAAAATGTTTACCCCAGACTGGAGTATATATGCTTTCAAAACGAGTTATTTTGCAATTTACATGATGTTTATTTATTACTGGTATACAGCAGAGCAATTACAGTTCATTTCCACTCCATATCATTAAACACTACAGATTTAAATCTTTCTGAAGTGTACGAAATTCTTCTCTTTGAGCACTCTTCTCTATGCAGTCACAGTCACTATACTCTATCAATATTCACATAACGCATCATTGTTTTTTAATACAATAACTTCTATTATCAATATTAATCAATATTTACTTTTGCTACAGTTCTGAATTCATAATGCATCATTGTAAAGAAACTGAGTTTTTGTAGGAAATTCTTTTGCTCTATAATACTGATCCTAAAAATTTTGTATCAGATATTAAGAGATTACCTTTCCAAAGCTGCCTTTGCCAAGAACTTTAAGGAAATGGAAGTCTTCTACTGTGTATTTCCTGAACCGTGGAATTGTGGTTGCAGGTGGTGTGACACGACCACTCCTGGCAAGTGTGCTGGTAGGACTGTGGTCATCATAGGGATCAAGACCTAGTGTAGAACTGCTGCTCAGGGTTGCGCTGGATATAGCAGAGTCAGTGCTGCTTCCACTGCTACATGAGGCAGCTATCACAGAAATAGCAAACACAATTAATATGTGTAGTTTCTTTCCAAGTGTCCCTGGAAATCTTCAATTCTTATTCACTGTCTCACATGTGAACTTGTGTTAAAATCTTAAAAGTCACGTTTTTTTAATTTTAAAATTATTTTTCACCTCACTGATTCACTATATATTTTGACCAATATGGCCATCAAGTGAGACAACGAATAAGTGAAAATAAGCAATGTGCAACAGGATGCTGCAGCACAATGTTCATGGAAAGGGTTAACAAATTTATTCTCATACCTGAGTTTAGTTATTTAATTTGTGGGACCTTTGTCCAGATTACCACACACACAGCCCAGGGTGGAGAGTAACATTCCACAACAGAGCAAAATGTTTCTTTCAGATGCATTGTGGGTGCGTGATTTCTTCTTCACTTGTTATATGATACCTGTAGCTGTCTTTTGCCACTCCTTGGATATATAATTACTAGTGTACTGCTAAAAATGAGTGGTCTGGGATGCAAGCCAGGAGGGTTGCTACAATGGAGCCTTCTATTTAACATTTTCCAGCATCTGCTGCACTGTCTAAACTGTCATTAGAGCTAAAACCTTCTCAGCAAATTCAGTCCCTAACTGCTACAGCAGGTGCAGAAGAGCCATGCTTTCCAATAAAGAGAAAAGCAGGTGTTAATGTATACACAGAAATTAGGTGCAATACTGTGATGCAAGATGAGGGAAGGATATGCTCTCAGACTGCAGATTATGGTTGAGATTACCTGAAATGTGATGCCATGTATTCAGCAAATGCTTACCAGTGTTTCATTCCTGAAGATGGAGACTGCGAATTCTCCCAGAATATAGGTAAACATCCACCAGATTGCATGGTGTCGCATCCCAAGATTACGCTAATCTTTACAGAGACTACTGTGAAAACCTCAAATCTTCGACTTAAACAAAATAATCCTTAAAAGTATTAAGAAAGGAAACGTTCAATTTCGTGTGGGAGTACAATCAGTATAACTCTCTACTGACAGCATTATGTTGTAACTTTTAAATATGTTTTTATCTCCCCTCTTGGTATAAATATTACTTTTTTAATTCAAAATAGCTTCCAGCATGAAATATTATATACAGCCAGAAAAGACCCTGAATTAAAGTGATAGAGTAGTAATAATAATAATAATAATAATAATATGTAATCGGAGTTAGCTTGACTAATAATAATGGGCTCTGGATTACATAACTGGATTTAGTGGCCCTTCTAATACGATTACAATCAACTGTAACAGCTCACAATCAGTGACTGCCTACGACTCGCTCCATTCCTTATTGGACTACGAGTGTCTTCTCTTCCGTGTGACTGGCCTGGTTCTAATTTACGAATCGGTCACTTCTTCACCTTCCGTTGTCAGCTGGTTAGCAGTCCACGGCTGAACACTAAACTTCTGAATCTCTTACTGTCTGGGCCTTATGTTACGGCCGACGGTCAGTCAGCAAGTCTGGTCTTGGAATAAAGCACCCATCTGGGGCTTACGACCAGATTTTTGTTACTGTGAGACAGCTGCGGTTCTGCTGATGTGGGGCGCTCTTTCTGACGAGGGCGTGTCTGTCGTTTACAATTGCTGCTGGTCATCGCCAGCGCAGTCATTCTCGGGTCCTAGTCCCGTGGGACGTTACCACATTTCAGTGTCTCAGTTTCGAGACTTCCCTTTTCGACACCGTCTGCACACGGGATGAATTTATTACAAAGTCAAAGTCACATTGCGACTGACGGTCAGTCAGTAAGTCTTGGTTCCGAGCCTCATATGAGGCTCATGACCAGATATTTATTACTGTTTGACAGATACGGTCTTGTTTCTGTGGGGCGCCTTCTCTGACGAGAGGACGGGTCTGTCTTTTGTATATGCTGCTGGTCCTCGCCAGCGCAGTCATTCTCGGGTCCGAGTCCCTTGGTACTCGCGACCATATTTTACTGTCTCAGATTTGAGACTTCCCTTTTCGTCGCCTCCTACGACCCGCAGGATCATGGTGGAGTATTCGCCTCCTCACTCACACACACACAACTGAACTATAACTTCGGGGCGAACCGAATGTAAGTCACCATGTTTTATAGTTCCTCTGTTATTCTGTCTGTATCCGTTGCTACGGAAAGGTGTGTTAGCGAGCCGCTGGCTAGAACTGGACTGTTACGGCTTGTTGTCAAGGAAACGTGTGTTATCCCTACGGTCGTTAATTTCGGTTTTCTATACCGTAGCCGACATTTCCTTGAAATAGCTCCTCAATTATCCTCACGAGGCTGAGTGGACCCCGTTCCATACCCACTACTTCTCAGAAAATCTGGTAGCGCCGGGAATCGAACCCGGGACCTCTGGATCTGTAGCCAGCAACTCTGACCACTAGACCACACAGGCGGTCTCGCTTTCAGGCGTCATGTCACAATAATAATAATAATAANTAATAATAATAATAATAATAATAATAATAATAATAATAATAATAAAGGCCTGAGTTGCAATTGTGTGCATTAGTGTTCTGCACATATGACCAATGATTTAGTCCTTCCTTGAAATATATTATGGTGTTTCGTCAGAAAGCCGGAATGGTTCAGAAGATCAGAGTTGATTTCCTAGGCAACAACCAACGTTCCCACGACAGCGACTAGCAACACACGAACTGCTGAAGTAACGTTTCGATGGCAGAGAGCGGAATGAACCCTTCGACGTGGTACTCCCTATCGAGTTCGAGTTGGCCCATGTTCAGACGGGTTCGAATACCTCCACCGTGACCCTGCGAGTCGTAGGAGGCGACGAAAAGGGAAGTCTCAAATTTGAGACAGTAATATATGGTCTCGAGTACCAGGTGTCTTGGCCCCGAGAAAGACTGCGCTGGCAAGGACCAGCAGCATATACAAAAGGCAGACCCGTCCTCTCGTCAGAGAGGGCGCCCATAAAAAAAGAACAGGCCTGCAACTGTCTGACGGTAATAAAGATCTGGTCGCAAGCCCCAGATGGGTGCTTTATTCCAAGACAGACTGGCCGACTGACCATCGGTCGTAAAATGAGACTCAGACTCAGAGACGAGTTCAGTTTGCATTTGACCCTATAAGAGTAGTCAGTCTTCAGTTTGACAGTAATTGTGAATGTGAATAACTGTATTTGTAAGTGTAAAAGTGAGCGTCCAATACACACAGTATCCAAATTCGAAACCCACGTGAATTCACTTGTCGCGTTATATAGGCAACACGCGGCAGTATTATGTGACACCTCCAGCATTCTGAATCACAGAACGTACAGGGCCAATTTTCGTTTGGGGACCGGGGGGGGGGTAGGCCTTCCTATACTTTTCAAACAGTGAGATTAATGAAATTAGTTGCATTCGTTTTTACGTATTATTTAAGTCACTGAAGGATGCACTGAAACTACTTTAATTCCTAAAACAAACAAGTATGCTCATATCTGCAGGGATTTCACCTGAAAACCTTAGATGAGTTTATCAACTGCTTTTGACAGGTCCCATACGGCAGTGGAACTGTGGCACCTGTATGAGACATACCGATAGATTTGGTGCGTATTATTCCAGGGACATTTTCTAAATGAGCAGTTACACGTTGCCACACACGAAGGCCTCAAACGGGGGGGGGGGATCAGGGAGAACATTTGCTTAAAAACACGTTTACTTAAATCATAGCAAGGTTCGGTGTCATAAGAGATAACTTCCCAGAAAGGTCTCTGAAGCGTTGGAATGACTCTCTCTTTCTCTGTAAAGTGCTGGTAATAATTTTTCTCTGCATAAGCAGATGGCCAACAGCCGGGACAGGTCAACCGGTATAACAAAGTGGTATGAGTTGGACTGCCGGGGTTCAATTCCCGGCAAGGCAAGGGATTTTTCTCTACTCCACAGTACCCAGCCTCCTATCCAATGGACACCACGGGCTCTTTCTCTGAGGGTGTAGCAGCCGAGGCTTGAAACTGACCACTCACCCCCACCTAGTGTCGAGGTCAACACTCTTGGAGCTATACATCCACTCCCCAAATGTCTTCATGTCATAGTGCTTAACTAATTAAGCACAGCGACCTGCGACAACTTCACCTTTCTTTTTTACAAACAGGAGGCCACCCTAATTACCTGTGCTGCAGTGTTCAGTGCAAAGTAATATATTTAACATTTCTATTCTTCTACCAATATTTCGCTATCTGTGAGCCGATGGTCTAGAGAAAATGTGGGAGCCTCGACGTTTCACAACCCTATGGGCCTTCACGGCCTGTTTCCTTTGTGCCGATGAGGTATTTTTTTTCAATTGACCTAATCCTTCAGCCGCACTATGGCCCTGGGGTCGACTCAGCCTCTAAGAGAAATGAGTACCAGGAATGTTCCTGGGGGGTAAGGGACGACCGGCGCGTAGGGCTGACAGCCTTATCGCCATCTGTGAGCAGACTGTCTAGAGAAAATGTGGGAGCCTCGACGTCTCACAACTCTAGGGATCTCCACGGCTTGTTACAGGGATAGCTTAACCTTTACCTTAATAACAGGCAAGGTAAAATTGTCCTTATGCTCACGTAATTAAGCACTACCTGCCTATCTACGTACCTATCGATCCATCCATGGCTCTGCAGCCCTTTGTTGGGCCTTGGCCCGTTTTTCAGTTTGTTAATCCTATACACAGCCGGTAGGACTCCTTGGACGGGGGACCAGGCCGTCGCAAGGCCGCTACCTACACACAGAACAGCACAAACACAGAATAAACGCACGCAGACGTCTATGCCTCGAGGTGGGATTCGAACTTACAATCCCAGTGTTCGAGCGGGTGAAGACTGTTCAGAGTTCAGGGGGCAGAGTCCTCCATAGCCATTGGATAGGAGACTGATTGGGGCCCAGAACCGGTCTGAACGACGTAGAGAGGAGAAAAATCTTGCTCCTATTGGGACCCAAACTCCGGTCGTTTGGCCGTCCAGGCCGTAGCCAGTCGCTATACCAACTGCGCTATCGGCTCCATTGAGTTTCAAGGTCATACTAATTGATGG